CTGGTTTTATCGCCAAACCTCATTTGCAGGAGTGTTCCAGGGGTACTATTATAACTCGAAATAAAATGACTTCTACGAATATATGATGTACTTTTTTTTTTCAACAATTTTAATATTCTAGTCACATATTTCTCTCAAATATTTTTTATATTATATTAAACTTTTTGCAACAACTTCATCCAATCGACATATTGTTTTTTTTTTTTAATTTTAAAATCAATCGTGTTTCCACATAATTCATAAAACTTTCAAAATAAAATTTTTAATTCAGTTATTTTACGCTGCGTTGTAATAAATATGATGGATACAATATTTCACTTACCACAGGGAGCTTTAAGATGTATGAGAATTTCAAATGTCAAAAATTCATGTTCATTTTCGAAATCCAAAAGTATGAACCAAAATCGCACCCACTGCCGGCTACACACTCAGCCAATTTATATCACGAGAGGGCAATCATCGACGCTTCCCGTCGTTTGATGTCTGAACGTAATTTGAGAAAATTATTTCGTCGAGCGGCTCGCCTCCGGCTAAGTAATAAACACAATCAACACGTGATGTGACTTTTTTTTCCGAGTTGTGTTGGTAGGGGATCTGGGTAAAGTCCCTCAAACCTTTTGTGAGTTTTATAAAGTGTTTTAAACTCCTAAATAAACTTTGAAGATATACTTCTTTTGACGCGTTTGAAAAAAAAATGAGAGTAAAATTTTTACGATGCGCGCGCACATCGATAGTCAAAAAGCAACATGATGAAGTTGGTTACTCTGGTTGTTTGTACCGACAAAGCTGAATTAGCCTTTGTTCTGTGGCAGATGTCTTGATTGCCAAGTCTATCGCGCAGGGAAATATTGAGCATTCATCTCTACATGATGGGCTAAAAGAAAGAATAATTATGTTATTTACTCAATGAAGTCTGTAATAGAACAATAACCCGATATCCTTATTCTGTTTATTATACGCAAAGACGTTTATTACGGCAACGTTAGGTATTTTCGACGATAAAACAGGTGCAAACTAAGAGCAACTTTAAAAATTCTCTGTTAAATGTTGGATTTAATATTTCGTATCGAAGCACTAAACAATAATACCCAACATGTTTATACAAGTTCCTTGCATTAATATGAAGTGTCTGTCGTTGAAATGACCAAAGCAGAGTTAAAAACACAGTTGTTCAATATTATGAACTACGTTTTTAAAAGTACCATGGACATATCTGAGCGTTTCAATTAAAATGCTAGCCTTTTGTGGAATCAGGGTTGCCGCTAGTGGGTTATTTATTCACTGTAGTTCTCTATAGTTCTCTTGATCCAAGCAATAAAAAAACATAATATTATGGAATATATCAATTAAACGAGTGAGTGCTCGTTTAATTGATGACACACTTTCATGTTTCAGAAGTAAACATTTAAAGAAAAAATTGATGTACAAAGAGTACTAAGAACAGTAGTATCTTCAACCCTTTTCAACTAACATGTCAAAACTTAATAATTGAAATTGACTACCAGATTGTATATTATTACTTAACTATCACTAATATAAAAACAAATGGTCTTAAGGCTTACAATCAAACGCTATGGTGGCGAAATTTTAACAATTTATCGTATATTAAAGTCGGCGATTTACAATTTCATAAAATGTCAGACTTTGATTTATAACAAAAAGTATAAACAGTTAAGTATTATTTAGCCTATTATTTATTTACTACACTATTATTTATTTAGCCTTCAATAAGACTAGATAAAACCACAAATTTTAATTTTTTTCATTTTATAGTTGATAAAACACTTACATTTGAATGATTTGATATGATTTGATATCATTCATTCGTCACCTAAATCATCTATAAAAATACATGGTTATAATGCTTATATTTCCTTTTAAACTTAAATAAGCAAAGTAATAAAATAATCTGTACCTGTAAAAATTATACCTTACATAAAGGTATAATTCTTTATACTATGATTAGAATGTTAAATTACAATAAATCAAAAGGTATATAAAGGGTAATATAGGTCAATAAAATAGCGTTTGCTTTTCCGTTTATAAATGATCAAATTGTATTAAAAATAGGATAAATAGATAAATAATAATTACATAACTGATGACTGTAGTAAAAATACGTTTATCAAGACATCATTTAATTTCATAATTTGATCTAGTAAGCCTTTACTAATCAACGGAAAAAATTGGCAACCCTATACTTGCGCACTCGTACACATTATATTAAAATAGCCAGACTGGAAATGTACTCTGTTAAATGCCACCGCATGAATCGCTTTAATAAAGCTAGTGAAAAGGCATTTTCTTTGTTACTTTATGAAATCTTTTTTGTAATTTTTGTTTTTTTTTATTTCACTGTTCTTTGGCGTGATAAAGTTTCTGTTTGTTACCAAAACTATAAATATTCGTATCCCTTATTGCAGAGCTTACTTTATATAAAATTTACCAGTACACCTTCGTATATAGAGTAGTAATTTTTTAAATATTTACAAACAGATATATGTTTGAACTTCCGCACGTGAAAGCTATTTAATCGAGAATTATAAATGTTAACGAGATTCATCACTTGCTAATTAAAACTCCTGTTATGTTAAAATTGTAAGCTAAATCACAAATACATTTACAGCATTTAAAAGATCTACTCTATAACGTGGTCACATCAAAGAAATCTGACAGTTTGGTGTACTCCCCCAACATTAGGTACACTAGATATTTTATTACACCATGCATGAATATAAAATTGATAAAAATATTTCAGCTAGCTACTCCGAAGAAGTTGCTTTTTTTTAGTTTTCATTTTCAACAAAATTTTTTTTCTTAAATAGATTTCAACCAAATAAGCGCACGTTTTATTTTATATTTTCAGTATCTAATATCAGCCAGCTCAGTCTTCTTTCCCATATCAGTTGTACTTTCCCCAAAGAAAACAGACTCAGACAAAAATCGCCTAAGTCCTAAAAAAAATACAAACGTTAAACAATCAGCAACAGATAATCAAACTTAAGTCACATCACCCACGATAACTATTAATCACAGACACTTTCAACTTTAAGTGCTCGTATTTTATTTAGCGCGTTTGACATTAAGATTAATATTAAGCAAATCACTCTAATGCAAACAACCAGCCCAAGTGAATACCGCAAGCGAATTCTGTTAAGTTAACAAGTACCCACTCGCAAGCAATCTGTACACAGCGAAAACGCGTCGAGACTAATTGATCAGCTAATTTGTTGTGGCGCAGGTGCGGCTGCGGTCTTATGAATTACAAATTTGTTTCTGCTATTAATACAAATCCAGATTTCAGATGCGGAATACGTGACACGAGTTAACGAGTTTTTCCTTATGGTTATCGTTACATAAACGAGCGTCGTTTATTTATCCAGAATCAATTTGCATCGTTGCGACATTTTGTACTGTTAAAATTAACATTTTTTAAATTATGTCTTTACGGAGCTCTATTATTCATTTCGAACTTGAAACTTTTTTTATATGTAATTATTAAATTTTACGGCTTGCCTTGCGACATTCCGCACAAAATTATATTTGCTCATTAACACTTGGCTATTCATTGATTTTCCAATAATTTTAAACATTCGTAATAATTTTTTTCGGTCGTTTCGTTAAGAAATAGACAAACATTATTGCGTGAATATAAATATGTCAAACGGCTAGACTTGATTGTAGACTCCATCTCGGATGCAAAAGTCGATACATCATTTTGCAATACCTGATGGTAAATAATAACTGCTTCCTAAGTACATGCTTCAACTTTTAATCGTGGTCTCTACTTACTGCACTCCCCGATGGAAATGCTAAAATAAATTTCTATAAATCTGTGTAATACTACACCGACATGTTCATCCGCCGCTAAGTTACGGTATAACTACGAGTAACTATGAGTACTTAAAGTAATATAAACTTTGTAAATTATCTCCTTTCTGTAGTTGTAACAATTCATTTCATATGCAAATAATACAGTTTAAACAATAATTTATAATATTATACACGATTAATCTGTAAGGTATTTACACTGAAATACATGTAACACGTATGTCTAACTACAAAACTCACAGTAACTTACGCACGCTTATTTATATAACATACAAATATTCGCAAGCAATACGTTTACACCGCAAACGTGTCGAGACTAATTGATCAGTTAATTTGATGCGGGGTAACGTAGCTCGTGTACAATTAAAACATATACATATTTATTTAAATACGTTTACTTTTATATGATTGCTACCCTTTCTCCCTCGGTTAAATAAAAGTATTTTACAAATTGTATCCCGATGATTTGAAAATTTACAGATTCAGGATATATCTTGTATCTTGTATTAACTGATGTTTTTGCTTTCAGTCCCGAGACTATTAAAGCTTCATCTGACGCAGAACCGGTGGGCTAGCCAGAACCCACGGGTTTGGGGGGGTATATTGTACACAGTCTGTCTACAGGAAATAAAATAAAATAAACAACTATGCAATCCGCTGAATAATTTTTATTAACAATATATATGTTCTAGACACGTAAATACAAGAACCCTTTTCTTTTCAAAATAAAAAATTATTATGTATTAATATTCTATTTTCTTTAATAAATATGATTATTTAATTAGAGCAGTATCTTAAAACCTAAAATTACTTAATTTAAAACAAATTTTATTTAAATTATTTATATGGAAATTTGCAATGAAATAATATAACGGATTACTTTCTATAAAACAATTTAAACACTATTGCCAAACTATTTTACAGTTTACACTAAAAACTTCACAATACTATATTGTGATTTATTTTAGTAAGCTACATTACTATCTAATAATATTGAATAGCGTCTTACTTTAGTGATATAAAACTATATTTTATTTTTGTTCATTTAAAATAAGTAATGATATTTCAGACACAATTATAGTCATAACCAAAGCCTTGCTTGATATACGGCTTGCATGATCGTTTCTCTAGTGGGTGATTGCACTATAGCTCTCGCTAGAAGTAGGCTAGCTACCACTCGAGAACCTTTCTCCCCATTGCGTTCTGAGATGAAAGAAAAGATTTTATATTCCTATCCCTTTCTCGCTTTGGTATTTGAATGCTGATTCAGAAGTTCGTTATATGAAAAGGTGACTAGCGAATAGGCAGTTTACATGATATTGATTACCAAAACCCACACATGTGTGGTATGTGTGTGTGATTACCAAACCCCATGTACATCTACAGGTCTTGCCGACATTTAAAAGTGTGAACTACGGTCATCTCACTTCCGCACAAAACGTTTCTATTTTACTCATACTTGCATTGTAGTGGTATTCAAGTGCGCAATAGCTTCGGTTGTTTAACGAATGGGCAGATCCATCTGGGTAAGTACCAGAACCTCACAGAAGACTGGCGTGAAGTGTTACACTTCTGCGTTTCGTCTGCTAAGTAAGGTAAACGAGGCCCACTTTATTAAATGGTGGCAACGTATGTCTAACTTCACGGGTGTTGCAAATGTCCATGGGCGGTGGTTATCACTAAACATCAGGGAGACCGCCAGCTCGCGTGTCATCTTATCACATGAAAAAATTAAATATTTACTCTAAATTCACGCTGAAAATCTATTTAATTTCTTTGGACGATCCCATCCCTACAACACATGATTACCCCTGTAGAAAAATTTGTAGCAGAATATTAACTAGTACTTACAGGTTATATATTTCATGGCTGACATTGCTTAACGCGTTCACATAATTAGCAGTTGCTCCATTAGTTGCACTACGCTTGCATTGTTTACATAGTGCTCGCGAGCGAGTTGCGCGTTGTGTAAATCTTGCGTGGGGTAACGGTTCTTTTTCACCGCAAACATCGCAGTCCATTATTTCTTCTTAATGGGCCCTGCCTTAGCTTCTTACTCGTGCATTTGTTTTCTTATTTTTCCCTTAAATCCCAACTACCCATAACTATGGCTCAGATAATTCTGGTTGGTTAGAATTTATTATTTATTGAATAATTAACAACAACTGTTAATTTGTGACAAACAGGATAAATTATCAAAGATTAAAATCAAAAAACGCACACAAAGTAGAGTTTATACATTTTCATTACAAACACCACATAACACGTACATTGTGTCAAACAAGAATCACGGTTCATCTAAAATATCTATGAGGTAAAACTTTGAAAACCGATGAATTTGCAATGGCCCCGCCATATAAGGTCCTATAAAGGAAATTCGGCCATGAAACCGGCGCACGCCTCGGAAACGACGCAATAACACACCGGCCCTCGAGTGTTGTGTTCTCGTTTAGAAATTTACGTAAAGTGCGTGCTTGCGGTCATAGCGCAGCAGGTAAGCTCGCCCGGTTTGCTAATTGGACAAATTGAATACTTTAATAGTATACCGTTCGAATAAAGCTGCGAGCGTTGTTAATAAATTGAAAGTAAGTGTTCTTGCATTATAAAATTTTATAATGTAGATTTATCTTATAAAGAATTTACACCGGATGAAAATTGAGCTTCGTGAGCAAGGGGGCAATAGCCGAGGCAATCCTCTCTCTGTCTTATTTTTCTCTCTCTTCTTTTCTGAGTATTTGCCTATCGTAAGATGTCCTATTGAAGAAAGCTTATGCTTAACTCTGTTCCGTTCTACTAAACGCTCTAGCCTAAGCTGGAGCGCTTAGTAGTCTACTAATAAAATAGTCAATACAATAAAATAAATATAGTCATGGGCTTGATATAAACACAATAGTGGAAAACTTTATGTATATCTGAGTTTATTTAAAACATTTAAAAAAAATGTGACCACGTTATTCAATAATCATGGGTAATCTATGAAAAAACTTTTAATGATTTTAAAGTTTTGAAATTACAGTAATAAGGACTATATTTTTTAAAAACCAAAGTAAGTCCGCAATACCACCTTTGTATGCCATTTCGTTGGGTTGATTTTCTCTATACTAATAATAAAATATAACAACAGCTTTATGTCAAAGCTTATATTATTTCCCTATTCGCGTTTGCAATCGGTCTATAAGGCTCTTGTCCTGAGAAACCAGCAAAAGTTATTTCTCAAATAGCTCGAATTTAACGTTGTATTCAAAAGTGCAATCAACTGCGAGCAAGCTGTAAACGCGAGTGTGCCGTATCTAATGGATTAACTAATTTGTTATATTGCGCACTGAACCAAGCCAATGTTAACTTTCCTTTTCAGCGTATTTAATAAATTTCGTCGTTACTTACAGAAAATCGTTCTATAAATAACGACCAGTGTTTTAACGCTTGTGTTTTGTTTTGTATAAATTTTAAATTTCAAAAATTTTTAAGATGCGTATTCATTACTGAACTACTAGTAAAATGCTGAATTTAATAACCATTTCAACCCAGACAATCAACGATGCGACATCACGTAATGTTTGGTCTGTCGTAATTTATATTGACACATAGTGATAGTTTGACAGTAGCCTGGAATATATTATTATTCAATTTAGTAATAGGGTTGAATAGAGATAAAGGCTAAGGCTGTTGAGATATTATTATTTCGCCTCGAAATAAAACTATTTCAGTTTTTCTTGACTAATGCTTAACAGTTATTGTGCAGGTTGCTAAAAAACTGAATAATATTATAAAAATAAGATATTTTATAACATCAGGACTTTAAATGTTTATGTTCAAGTAAAAATTTATATAGATTAATTAATTTTAAATTTATATAAATATTAATTAATAAATTTATATAAATAGTAAGGTAATAAGTAAAAAGGAACTATTATATGATATGTATAACTATTCTATCTTGTGTAATCAATACACATATTTAAGATTATATGTAACATGCAAAATAATATATGTTATTACTTATAAACTATAGCATATGTAAGCATTGCTCATACGTACGTATGTGGGGTGTGCATTGAAAGTGGTACGGGATATAAAGTAATGGAGTTTCCCTGCACGGTATTAAATGGAGTGTTAATCCATAGTGTGTATTGTGAAATACGCTTTGATTGTGTCACCAACCGAGAATGTTCCGTATTATACAAGGGTAACAACTTCATTGAGTTTGTGACTTGGTTATATGTGAATGTGGAACAATACAAAATTTTTATTATCATACGGATAAGACTAAAAATATGTAACTTAGGCTTTATTGACTAAAATTAAGTACACTAACGAAACAAATACTTTTGATTTATATAAACTAATAAATATTCTAACCTTAAGAGAGTTAATGTGTTTTTAGATTTGTGGAAACGTGCCTAATTTAAACTTATTACATTAATTTAAATAACGATGGAAGCAGACAAACCATTCCAGTAAAACAAGAATTAAGATAATAGGCATAAAATAAAACGAGATTACAATAAAAAGTTCAGACGCTATTTCCAAAGAAGGCTAATTAAAAATTCGAAGCAAGTTCTGCGATCGGTGCCCGGATTTTTTATAAATAAAAGTTTCGCTTCATAAAGTTGTTCGCTTCATTGAAGAGAGACAAAACTTGTTGCTGGTTAATTTTGGTCTATTAAATAAAATAAAAAAACTGGTATTGTTTATTAAATGAAATTAGTTTACGGATTTCATCGCGTTTCAATTTATTTTTAATTCCCGACATTTCGAACCCTTTCCAGCGTTCATGGTCACGGGACAGTGAACCATTCATTGAATACGTATTGTTTAGTTATGTTTTAATTTCGTTATATTTAGTGATAGTAAAAGATTGTTACCAGAAAAATTTTCGCATTAATCCTGTTGCAAAATCAAATAAATACTTTATGCAACAGGTACATACACAAATTACGCTTTTGTTTCTAGTTTTTGATAATGATATTACATTGTTTAATTTATGATAATCATTGTAATTACAGAAGGATAACTCCATCTTATATAACAGAGGAATTTTGTCAATAAAAAAATTAACAAACATTCAGTTCCAGCACCATAATTTGTATGTCATGTTCAGTATTTTTACAATATGATTCCGATGACGTATTTATATACAAGTAATCACTTGTTTAACTTGAAGTGTTTTCACGTAATAATAACTATAGGACATAGGTAAAGAACTATCATATTTATAGTAACAATCGTACTTCATATTTTATTCTCAATTTCTATGGACAAATAACAGTTTTCGCAAAATAGTCCACACAGCAAAGCTGTACAATAGCGCAGCATCTGCTACGAGTTACAGTCGGTTTGATATTTATGTTGGGTGCGTGCTCACACGGCAACCTACAGGTAAGTGTATTTCGCTAACGTAGCAATAGGCTGGTGGCTTTATATTTGTGTTGCCCTTTATTCTATGTCTAATGAATCATTGTTATTGGCTCTCTGAAAAGAACTGATTTCAGTCGAACGATTTCATATATGCACGTCTCTTAGGTACTATTTCCTATACCGATGTGCTTTACAATGTTTCAAATTCAGATATGTCGTTTTAATGATCTTTTCAACAATCCAATTAAATATACGAATCTACTTCGAATTTTTAGACGGTAAATACAAACTTTTACATCAATTATAGTTGAAATAAAATTGATTTTTGATAATATTTTATGTTGATTAAAATCTATTCCGCCTGTATTATATATGCAAATATATTGAAATGGAGGACCCTCCGCTCTTCCATTTCGTTCAATTGATTATAAAGCAAGTCGACGGCGCCGTGAAAGTGAATTACAAACATTCCTAGGGTATGTTCCCTCCAAACGGGCGTAAATTAGGTGCGTTGATGAATAACCTATTCAAACCCCTAAATTAAGGTAGCAATGTGAAATGCTCTTATGAGCTAAATCAGTTAAAATACTGTTACAATTTACGATTGACAATTTTGTTTCTGATTCCTAAAAAGTATTGTTTCTTTTATTTTATAAGCATATGGTGGTAAGGTTACGAAAAAGGGTGTCATCAAAGAAAATGTTTAGGATGTCCCCAATTTTATCAACTTAATTAATATTTCCTCACTCTACAGTAGTTGCTGCGTTTGTCATAATAAAAATCAATTTATTTCATGAAAACAATCGTTTTGTTAGTTATCGTTATTCAAATGTCAGCTAAATTTCAACCAAAGTAAATCCGCTGGATAACACTACACCCACAGTTAACAACAATCACACCAGTTCGCCCTCGCCTCCGAGCACGGCGAGACCCACACAACGCGTACACAAGGTAAATGCATAGTCGACGGCCGTCGGGGTCTCGGTCCAAACCGCGACCTCGACGGCCCTTAGATGACACACCATAGTTAAACGCACGCATGAGCACATGCGCGACCCTACCCATAGCGGAGGATCCAAACCCGTGGGTTCTGGCTAGCCCACCGGTTCTGCGTCCGATGAAGCTTTAATAGTCTCGGGACTGAAAGCAAAAACATCAGTTAATACAAGATACAAGATACCAAAGTAAATTGTATTTAATAGTAAATTAAAGCATTTTGTGCCGTATTAAAAGAAAATAAAGAAATACGAAAACTATATTATATAAAAATATGCACTTAAGTTTAACCAGCCGTTATAATTATCATTAGCTTCAGGCGTCACTTAAAACACCGATGAGTATTTTATGTTGAATGAAAGTCTAACGAATGGTAGCACTAAGTTAAAATGTCGCATTACTATGTGACACAGAGCGGCCAAGAAGGATGTCCGCGCTTTGTTACACTTATATAAGAGAATGAATTCTTTAAAGGGAATTAACAAATTCTCATCACATATTTTAGTTATTGGCCCTACAGTGATAGTGAATATTAGCCTCGTTTCACCGAAATTATTCATACAGGACACAAATTCAGGTGATGGACTTTTTCAACGGAGGTATATAAATTTTACATATTTTACTTTAACTGGTGATTTTATTTTCAGCCCGTAGACTACTAAAACCT